TAACAAGCCACAGGTGTGACGGCAGCTAAAGTAGTTAATATGATAACGATGGGGAGGGAAACCACGAAGACAATGAGCACATGGCGAACTGTCAAAACAGACAAAAACAACAACAACCTGCTGATCAGACCAAAGACATGACAGAACCTGCAAGCACAAGAAAACATTATTTATCAAAGCAGTGTTTACAGAATTTGCCTTGACTGTCAAACTTGTTTGTGCTGTATACACTTTGACGTTAATAAAAAATGTTATATACTACATCTGAACGCATCTATAGGAAGGTACATAATTAGTTGATAATCCATCATATTCAAATTATTAAAGCTCCATTTTTTTACAATGCATTCTCAATCAGTAGAGCAAAGTGTTGAAATAATGGGTTTGATTCCAAGGGCAGTTCTACAGTGAGTGGATATCCGGGGCTTAGCCCAGAAACATTAATGCATGTATCAGAATACACGGGATACACTTCAAATAAAATAGGCTATGCTAAAAGTTACATTGGCTAAATGGCTTAATTTTTTATTTTTAAAGAGACAAGTATAATTAATTATAATTTGCACTTACAAATTGCATAAATAACATTACAGTGTCTCCCACAGACTTTCATTCTATTTGTGGCGGCATATATATGCAAACTCATTCTCTGCCAGCAGGAGGCGCTGTGTGAGTGGTAGAGATCGAGGTTTCCCCGGTAACGCTGTGCACAAAACAGAGCTCCACTCACAAACGCTGCTTTATCAGACATTACAAGCAAGAAGAAATGAAAATGAGTTTCCTTCAGAAATACAGTGATATAAAAACACCCGCACCGGGTTTCGATTTTGAAACGTTCAGTGCTCATGTTTATTCAACATGTGCTAGCATGTTCCTCTCAAAGTCAACCTGTTCTGTGAGTTAGTGGAGAACAGCAGCTAGAGACTGATTTAGTGACATTAAAGTTAGTTAAGCTGATGGAAGCTCACCTGTTGTTAGCACCGCTACGAGGCAATCACAAGACTTCAATACACCTCCGATGCAGACGACATGACCACAAACTTTAAAATAAAATACAAAATATGTTATTAACAGTGGTGTTTCTTCACTCAGTTTTCCTCAGTAGGTTGTTAGCTGGCTGTTTTATGTTAACGTTACGTCTGTCACTGAATTTAGGGACCGTCTCTAAAGTTACATACGACATTGGTACACACTTTCTGACTTCAATAGCATTTGAAGAGAATTACCTTACTTGAAATACAGAGGCAGAGTAAAGAAGATAACTTACTATGCTTCTCTTTGTTCAACTAAGTTAGTTAACTTTGGCTAAATTACATTATTAACTTACCAGTTGATGTTATCAAGGTAATTAAAAGGATAAAAGGATGAGGATCCAAAATACACCTCCGACGTTGCAGACTACATCTAGACTAGAAATCTGAAAATAACAAACAAAGGAAGTACTAGAAAATACTGTTTAATATCTCCACTGAAACAGTGGTTTGCCTAATGCACTTTACCTCAATATTTCACGTTAATACGCTGTTAAGGTTAAATAACGTCTCATCAGAGGAGCTAACTTGCATGAAACGGCAGCAGAACGTACAAACCTTCATTTAAAAACTGCATGTTGTGTTTACTTGTGTTATCTTTGATTAATATTTAAATTTGTTTGATGATCTGAAACATTAAAGTAAGATAACTTACTATGCTGCTCTTTGTTCAACTAAGTTAGTTAACTTTGGCTAAATTACATTATTAACTTACCAGTTGATGTTATCAAGGTAATTAAAAGGATAAAAGGATGAGGATCCAAAATACACCTCCGACGTTGCAGACTACATCTAGACTAGAAATCTGAAAATAACAAACAAAGGAAGTACTAGAAAATACTGTTTAATATCTCCGCTGAAACAGTGGTTTGCCTAATGCACTTTACCTCAATATTTCACGTTAATACGCTGTTAAGGTTAAATAACGTCTCACCAGAGGAGCTAACTTGCATTAAACGGCAGCAGAACGTACAAACCTTCATTTAAAAACTGCATGTTGTGTTTACTTGTGTTATCTTTGATTAATATTTAAATTTGTTTGATGATCTGAAACATTAAAGTGTGACAAATATATATTAGTGGTGTCAAAATTAGCGCATTAACGCAGGCGATTAATTTTTTCAGTTTAACGCATTAAAAATATTTTACGCAATTAACGCAGGGACGGGGCTAGGGTTGGCCACCCCACTCACAACTGCTGCTTCTGTCACTTTTTCTCTTGACAAGAAGTGCTTTTATTATTAAACGGCAGCAGAACGTACAAACCTTCATTTAAAAACTGCATGTTGTGTTTACTTGTGTTATCTTTGATTAATATTTAAATTTGTTTGATGATCTGAAACATTAAAGTGTGACAAACATGCAAAAAAATAAGAAATCAGGAAGGGGGCCAACACTTTTTCACACCACTGTATATATATATATATAGTGGTGTCAAAATTAGCGCATTAACACAGGCGATTAATTTTTTCAGTTTAACGCATTAAAAATATTTTACGCAATTAATGCAGGGACGGGGCTAGGGTTGGCCACCCCACTCACAACTGCTGCTTCTGTCACTTTTTCTCTTGACAAGAAGTGCTTTTATTCAGTCGCAGAACAACTGAGAACGGGATACATTTCAGACGCGCTCCTCTTCACTTCATCGCCAGGCGCGAGTCAAGCGAGCGCGGATACGGTCCTGTATGGGAAGCCAAACAACCCAAAAGTGGGACGAGACAGCGCTGTATTAAAGTGTTCGCGCCGTGCTGACCTGTCATCGGCGCAGCTCAATGGACCGAGCTGTGCGACCGACTCGACAGCGCAGAGAGGACGTGTTTACTAGCGCCACCGAACTGACAGCGCTGCGCTGATCAGTTACAACAGCGCAGCGCGAACATTACTCTCCGCAGAAGTTTGTGTTTTTTTCCTGCACATAACATAATGAAGATCAGTATTAAGTTATTACATTTATTTTGCTTACCTTTCTACTACATGTAAACAGTTGTACTTTGAAAAACTGCAAATATAAAATATATAAGACTTTAATAAATTTACAATACTATAGTCCTCTTGAGGAGCACACCCAGCTTCTAGTATATATATTTTTTTATTTTGTACTTAGTTATTATTGTTGTTGTCATCAAGTTCTACATTGAGCACAATATTTCCCATTTTAAATTTGAACTATTATTAAATAGCCTAGTATATATATGGGATTTTTGTTGTCTCTAGTAAAGGGAACGTTGTTATTTAACTTTAACATTGCAATTTTATATAATGGATACGGTTTGTAAGGCTTTTCTCTACACTCCAAATTAAATAAATAAATAAATTTTAATTAATTAAAAAAAACTTTAAAAATTAGGGACAGTGTATGTAAATTCAGTATGATGTATTTTGAATTTTGCACTGCATTGTGTTTTAGGTTTATCGGAAAACATTAAAATTAACCATGATTTTATTATTAACCTTTTAACCATATATTTGTAGTTAAACTGTGGGTTAAAAAAATGACAATCAATCCATGGTTACTGCACATTTGCTATAGTAAAACCATTGTTAATTTCCGTATTTCCATAAGGGAAAATGTATGTCCTAACAGAAAAGTATCTGTACATTTTACTTTTTTTTTTCCCCAAGTATAATCATATGCTACAGTTACACAAATATCCTTAAATGTAAAATTTACTTAAAATATGCCTTGATGAACGAAACCATAAAATATTTTAATTCTAAGAGGATAATGGAGGTTTCTGCTGTGAACGTGACTACTAAATATAGGCTATACGTGCTTCAAAGTAGCTAACACTACTGTTTACATGTAGTAATATGAAAGATAAGCAAAAGAAATGTAATAACTCTTCATTATGTTATGTGCAGGAAAAAAAACACGAGCTTCTGCGGAGAGTAATGTTCGCTCTGCGCTGTTGTAACTGATCAGCGCAGCGCTGTCAGTTTGGTGGCGCTAGTAAACACGTCCTCTCTACGCTGTCGAGTCGGTCGCGCAGCTCGGTCTATTGAGCAGCGCCTATGACAGGTCAGCGCGGCACGAACACTTTAATACAGCGCTGTTTTGTCCCACATTTGGGTTGTTTGGCTTCCCATAGTCCTGTGCTCGCAGCGCATGCTCTTCAATTGCACAAACAAAGGCGTCGGTGCACGCTGTAGCCTGTATTCTTTCACATCAGAGCGCAAAATAAACTACGTGCATGCAATGTCTTGGTCAGTTAATTCATGAAGTTACCAAAAAGGCGATTAAAGCTGCCTTAAAACTGTGCATGCATGTAATATATTTTATATGAGTCATATTTAAGAACATATCTCTGAAATGTTTTTCAAAACTGTCCAGGAGCAGCCCAGCACTGTCTCACTCATCTATTCTAACACACCCTTTTTTAACTCGTCAGCTCAATATTTGGCCATCAGGAGTTAAAGAGGGTGTTGTACAACACTTGGTTTTTGATATGGTATGGAAAATTGGGGAAGGGGTGGTTGCATCTTTGTCTCTTTTTTCACCCCTGATTGACCTTTAGTGAATACAATACACAGGAAATGTAGAGGAAATTTAGCTATGGTTAAGGATTCTAAAAACTATATTTGTTTTAAAAACAGTAAACACAGGTAAAAACTACACACACACACACACACACACAAACAAAGACACTGCTGTTGAATGAGGCATCTACTTATACATATCTATGATCGCAGCACTGTTTAATAATTGTGTCCGGGAGTAAGTGCACCTGCTTTGAGCTTGTGCGTATTGCCGCAAGCAGAGCCTTTCAAACTAAACTCCATTTGATCATCTTTGCCCAGTGTCTGCGCTACTTCTCTTTAGAAATTCAAAACAACCCAACTGCTGGGTCAAAACAACCCAATGGCTGGGTTTGTCCCTTTTTAACCCTATTTTTTAGAGTGTACTCTTAATGCTCGTTTAAACTAGAGCTGTGGATGTCTCTTAACCGTCTCACACAAGTGTTACTCATCATGGGTGTCTGTTGTAATTGAATAAATAACTTTTCAAAAACATAATTAAAAAAATAATCTTAATAATTCCAAACTTTTGACTGGTAGATTTTATGATTAGCTGTTTTTTTTATTTGCATTTAGCATTCTATTATCTATTCTGTTCTCCTACTTGACCTTGGTGTTAATATTGGTGTTAAAATATTGTTTGCATTGCTGGTTGTACAGATAAGACATATCAAACATAGACTACAAAAAGTCAAACCACAGATATAAGAGAAGATTTTGCTTTAGCCTGTTAGTCATCCTAACCTCTGGGTGTTTTTTTTCTGGCAGGGTGAGGGAAAGGTTGTCTCTCAAGCTCAGTTGTTGTCTTATTCAGTGGAAGATCTCTTTATCTCTGCAGTGAATGGTGGCTGGTCTCTGTGGACAGAGTGGTCTCCTTGCAGCGTGAACTGTGGGAGAGGAGTTCAGAAGCGATCTCGGACCTGCACTAACCCCGCTCCTCTGAACGGAGGAGCGTTCTGTGAGGGCATGTCTGTGCAGAAGATCACCTGCAATGCACTTTGCCCAGGTCAGATGCTCATCAACCCCAGCACACCCCTGAGGTGCAGCTTGTCCTCCAGCATCCAAGCTCAGTGTAGTTTTTAGTGTCAGCATAGCACTTAAAAGCCATGTTTTACATTCATAATACATCAGACATCGTAGTACATTTTCCATTCTACAGGTGCATCTCAATAAATTAGAATGTCATGGAAAAGTTCATTTATTTCAGTAATTCAACTCAAATTGTGAAACTTGTGTATTAAATAAATTCAGTGCACACAGACTGAAGTAGTTTAAGTCTTTGGTTCTTTTAATTGTGATTATTTTGGCTCACATTTAACAAAAACCCATCAATTCACTATCTCAACAAATTAGAATACTTCATAAGACCAATAAAAAAAATTTTTTAGTGAATTGTTGGCCTTCTGGAAAGTATGTTGATTTACTGTACATGTACTCAATACTTGGTAGGGGCTCCTTTTGCATGAATTACTGCATCAGTGCGGCGTGGCATGGAGACAATCAGCCTGTGGCACTGCTGAGGTGGTA